ACATTATGTTTGTTAAAGTAATAATTTTAAGGGCTTAATATTATATAAAGCCCGTTTTGATTAATTTCTTACTTGAATTTTACCAAGATGTAGCCTTAAAGCGAAGCGTCAACCAAAATAATTCCAATTTGATGACCTAACGGACTTGCGGTGACGGAAATATTTAACTCAGTCTATTTAGATTTTTACACAGAGAAATAACTTCAACGAAATGAGTCACAGAATACTTTGTTATTTATAGTTTTTTGTACGCGATTTCAATGTCATCTCTTGTGCTGTCAGCCGTATATTATATTATATCTCTCGTTTGTATTTTTTTCCAAATTCTTCTGTTTCTCTTATCAAGGTTTAGCCGCATATTATAAAAATTTAATATGCTTAAATGTAATTAAAAATTTATTTGTAATTTTGAAAATGATTCAAAATTTTGAAGTCCAAATATAAATTTTAGACAATTGACATTAAAAACTTTTAACTTAAAAACAGAATATTCTAATTATTTATGATAACGAAGTTCTAAATTCATAATCGCTATGAGATTTTTCAGTTTACGTACTAAAATAAAATTCAATTGAATATGAGGATATCCTCTCTAGAGCATAAATTTTCCAAAAATTAAAGGTAAATGTTGAAATGCGCAAAACATTTTCAACCAAAAATTTGGTATCTCTTACAATATTTTTATTTTTTTTCGTTCACATCTGTCATTTTCTTACATTTATATACTTTATTTGTTAGTAATTAGCTTTAAGAAAAAAGACAATTTATTTCTTATCCTTGAGGCAAGCATTAAACCGAATAAAATGTAAAAATAAAATAAATAAAAAAAAAAGTATTATCCTTTGAAGGCTTCATTTAAACTTTTAGATTTGATTTTATTTTGTATATGTAAGCTTACGGTATTTATTGTATATGTATTTCTTTTTTATATAAGTTTATTCCATATAATAATACTTTGGAAATTATATTTTACGACACATGTTTAAAAATAATTGCATTTAAAAGTATTTTCTTTAAAATTTTCTTTGTTTGTTCTTCTTCTTTTAAAATGTTTATTTGCTTTTTTAGAAAAGAAAAAAATTTTCTTTTTTTTTTTATTGTGTTTTTTGATTTTCTTCTAACACTTACAGAAATATAAGCGGACACCTAGGAATTAAAATTGTTTGTTTATTTTTTTTTTTATTATTATTTTTTTTTTGTACCTGTATAAAAATTGAATAAACTTTTTAATACTTATGAAGGATTCTGCAAGAAAATGAATGAAAAAATAAATTTTTTTTCCTGTTTGTTATTAGTTTTTTTTTCATTTATATTTTGTTTTTTAAGGATTTTGGCTACATGCCAAAGTTTCATACCGTATAGCAAAAAAAAAAAGAAAAAGGATCCGGTGGTCTCTAAATAGAATAAGAAAATTTCAAATATTTGTTCCCCCAAGTTATTGTATAAAGATAATAAAGGACAGTTTTACTGCATTTTGGGCCAAAAGAAAAAAATATTTACTATTAAGTAAAAGAAAAAAAGAAAATAAATTTTCAAGGATACTATTGCATATAAATCCTTAAAATACAAGATAACCCATAATAAGATTTAGGTATAAGAATTATGAGCAAGGTATTATGGAATGGCTGTTACAGGTAATGCAAAAAAATTGTATTAGTTTGGAAACTATTATAAATAGGCTCATACACTAATCCCCATAGTAAATTTTATTCAATTTTTAATGCAGTTTTAAATAATATAGAAATAGGTGTTCTCTGTATTAATTCTACCGCTCCCTTGATTTTATAGAATATTTTCATATTTGGTTACTTCACTAATGGGAATTCTAAATTATTTTATAATAACTTCGTTCAGCTTCTTTATTTTAAATTAAAAGGAGAAACTTTGAAAATTTAAAATGTAATTTTATTTTTCAATGTTTTATTTAATTTTATTATTTATTCAATTGTAATTATTTTTTAGTTATATATTCTTGTTATTATAATAATTATATTTTAAAAATTTTTAAATTGCAATAGAAATTTTCTCATCACTTTCAATGTTAGAAATGAGTCCTTTTAAATTGAAGATTAAATTTGAAGTATTTGCCAAACATACTTTTTCAATGAAAATTATTAATTAACTTTTTTTCTATACAAAACCGGGTAATGTCATTGGAACTTTTCAATCTAGTCCGAAACATGTTAACTTTACAATTAACGGAATGTCCCAAACGGAAATCAGTAGGTCCCTTCGGTTTCAAAAACAATTAATTTAGATACCTGGATAAAATTAGACTCAAACTATGTTAATGTTCTTTGCTTTTATTATCTCAGAACAGATAGCTTTTAATTCACAATAGCGCGCGTGTTGTATAAAAAAATAAAAAAGGATATTAGGCGAATATTTGTGTGGAACCGAAAAAATAACAACCACAATTTCCATTATGCTTTTTTTTTATTAAAATATGTCTGTACCTCATAAGAAATTGTCTATTGTTTTGTTTTGTTTCCTTTATTTTGTATTTTGTATATTTTTATTACATTGTTTAAACTATATATCCTTCCTGTTGTGGTAAAATATCCTTGGCAGATCAAATGCATGTTTGTAGTTTTTTTTTTGTTCTTTTATTATAGTGATTTCCTACAAGAAATCTATGACTTTTTTTATCTCATTTTCTTGTTTGTCTCTTTTAGGATATTGATGTTGAGAATTTACTTACAATGTTATATACTTTAAATATACTATTATAAGTATAAGTATATAACAATATTAGTTTAGAATTTGAATGTATAAAAATAGTTTCCAAATAAATTAAATTTGCCAATTATAAATAAATTGTCAGAAATGTCAATTGGTATAACATTTTTACAACTAATTCTAAGAACGAATTATAATATATTTTATACAATAATAGAAGTATAACAGTTAATGTTGATTTTTAATGAGCAACATAAGAGAACGAGTAAAATGAAATTGTCAAACTTCATATAATTTTAGTTTTTTAAACGAATGTCAAATATTAAACGCTGAGTATATTATTGATTTCATGATCGTTTTACAATAAATACGAGTAAGTGGTGTAGCATTTCCAAGCAGAAAACGTTTTGTATATATTATTGAAATGTCTCCTTATATTATGCTTCTCTGTTTGAAAGCACAATTCTATATTTCCAGTTCAGGCTCGTGATTGCGTGTTATTCATGTAAGTGACAATAATTTTCTTTATTATACCTCTCGAACAGTTTGCGCGGAAAGATATTGGCACCTATGAGTGCAAATTTTAAAACTACATGTATGATAATTATTTGATTCAAATTTAATTTATTCTTGCTTAAGTGCATGAATGAAATCAAAAATTGAAGATTGCAATTTTTTACACGACACAATTTATTCACTTGGTACGCAAAAATATCACATCAAAAACCCAATACGTCCTGAATTTCTTGATTTCAGGCAATATTGTTATTCTCTATAAAATATGTATATAGTGTTATAAACTGGAAAATTAATTTTATATACAATACAAATCAACTAAAATCGTTTTGTGTGCAAAAAACAAATTTTAAATGTCTTAACCTTAATTTGATAGTTTATCGGTGCCAAAAATTTCATCGGCGATATCGTTTTGAACGTGACATCTATTACAACAATACTTGTATAATGGATAGATGCTTATATACATATAAATATTTATTTACGTATTGAAAGTACGTATATATGCACTCATGTATACAGATATATTAACATACATATTGTATATTTAAATATACAGTTTTAAAATTTATTTTTATATTAGCCAGAAAGTTTGTGTTTAAAAAAAAGTTGTGTACAGCTATAAAATTATTTTTTCTTAAATTTATATTTATAGTGTTAAAAAATATCGTTTAAAGAAAGTTCGAAAAAAATTTTTGAGGTCATACAAATTTTTTTTAAAATAAACTGCATTGTAAAATTTTGTTTTTATTGAATTTTAATATTCATAAACGTCTAACTAAATAAATTAATATTTAGAAAACGTTGAACGACTTAATGATAAAATATTGTGAAACATATTGGAGTCCCAATTCATTTTCAATACCTTTATTAGACAATAATTAATGTGAATTTTAATACATTATAAAATTTTCTCAAATGTGAACAATCTTAAGTGAAATATTTATTTCAAATTTAAAATAAAATTAAATTCTTCCAGCAAGTGTTGCAAATTTAATTAAAATCTGTAAATTATTGACTACTGTTTTGTTAGTATTAAATACTTCGCTTTATGGGCAATCAAAAGTAGTGAATTATTCAATGAAGTCGAATTTCGAGGGCAAATTTTTAATTTTTTGTTCAATAACTGTTATATTAATGAAACAGTGTTACATTGATATCGTAATATTTCTTTACTAATAGAAAAGTTACAAGTCATGCCTTTCGGTCTGGAAATAAATATATAATTTGTTTAAAATTTTTGATTAAGAACAATAATTATGGGATTGACTACCATCAACGTCATATAATATCATTTGTTTTTCATCAAATTAAATGTGATCACTTTGTTTATTAATAGAACCACTAAATAAAATAGTTAAAGTACACGAAACGAAATTCTCTCAGAATGCGAGTTTTCGAATTTTGAATACAGTTTTGGACATTTTTAATAGTGGGATACGTTTACGATATCTGACTTGAAGCCGGATTCATCCAAGTCAATAACAAAATTTTAACTTGAAACGTTATAGGTAAACGTCGTTTTCGGGTTTTCAAGCTGACAGAGCAAAGTTAGACATTTAGCGTTAAATCACAACGATATTGTTTAAAGAGAACTCTTCAAAACACTGAGAGCAGTTTACTACAAATTTTTATATATGAAATTTTGTCTAAAAACCGTTTTAACCGACTCTTTATTGTTATATTTTTCAATATTGTTAAAAAAAACATAAAAATTAACAAAATTATTTTTTTATACTACTTACAATTTAAATTTTTCTTTATATACCTTAATTACTAACATTAATTTTTTTTTTCTTTTTTAGACCTCGTTTATATTATAACAGTAGTGATTATAGATGTCGAGAAGATTTTTATTCAATAGGATCAGCTGCCGGTACAATAGCATCATCATCACAGCAACAACAACAACACCAACAACAGCAACAAATTGATGTTGTTGATCAAGCTTTAATAAATAGTCGAGTTGTTGCAACACAAACAAATAATAATAATAATACAAATAATAATAATACAAGTAATAATAATAATAATAATAGTAATAATAGTAATTGTAATTTTAGTAGTAATAATAGCTGTGACCAACAAATTATATCTGCTGTCAATAATAATGGCAATGGTAATAATATTAGTAGTAATAATGGAGGCTGTGGTACACCAGTACAACCCCCTGTATTATATACAGTGCATAGGGTTGTTACGACAGCACAAATACAAACAGCAGGTGGTAATACATTTGCAACATCATCAAGTGTATCAAGTGTAGTTAGTGCTGTAAGAAGTGAAGTTGATTGTAATTTATTACAGCAACAATCAACACCAGGAACTAGTGGATTACAAATACAGGGTGCAACTAGTTCATCAGTATTAAATAATTCACCTGGTAAGTTTTTTTTTTTATTATTTTATATAAGGTTATTTTATAAAAAAATTTTAGGTTCCTCTAAATTCTGTTGATGTGCAAAGTTTTATTAGATAGAAGTTTTGTAATATTAAAAATTTGATCTGCTAATTCGATATTCATTTTAAATATTCGAAATAGCCTTATAAAATCCTTTAAAAATATTTTATAATAATTTTGAAATATTTTAATTTTTTTCACAATATTCAGTAATGATGGCATTCTTCCAAATTTTAAATATTTAAAACTTAAATATTTATGTGACAAAACTTCCGGAACAAAGTTCTTGCATAATTTAAATAAAAAACATATGCAAAACCAAATTGTATACTCATATAAAAAAAGTTAGATATATCCATATATACAATATATATATATGTATATAATCATACATTTATATATATATTTATAGCACAGTTTTATTACATTGTAATCAAAATTTTAATACACTTGAGAACAATGTTGTTATTGTTACATAGTTTTGGCTTTTTACAATAAAATGATGAGTGTATATGTATAATGTAAATGCAAAACTAATGAACATGGACAAAGAATAAAGGTAGTTGTATGCCAAAAATAAAAGAAAGAAAACATTTTTTTTTTGGCTTTGTTCAGTCGTCCTGTGTTAACATAATTAATAGTTGTATGCAATAATGCAAAATACTTATAATATAATTATACTTAACGTTACAATATTATTATACATTATGCATTAAGGTGTTGCAATATATTCATTTCGGTTAGCCAATACATGTATTCTATCCTATATTAAAAATTATTTAGGTATGGAAAATATTGTTTGAAGTATAATATTCGCGAATAATTTAAATTTGTCGTCTAAATTTTAATATTATTTGATTGCAGTTATATAATTTTAAGAATTTGTAAATAAAGTAATTTTAAAAAATTATTCCATTTGCAATATATTATCATTTATTATTTATACTTGCTTCAGTTGAATCGTTTATTACTTCATTAAAGTACTGGCCAAAATATTATGCCATTTATTTTGATGTTATGAATGCAGTAACTAAAAAAAATGCATTGTCATTGAACATTTAGTACCGAAAATCGAATATCAGTTCCAAAATTATTAATTATTTTTTCAAATAATCATGGATAAACTAACTTTCACATGGCACATTTTCTTTTAAATAGTAATCTCATATCGTAGATGCTTCTATATCTATTGTATATCCTTCGTAAATTGTATTGGCTGTAGTCGGATTAGATCTCATGGTTGAATTAGACAGTAAATGAAATTAGTCTACAATTCTGTTTTTTAAAATTAACACAGAAAGAAACAATTTCGAAAGAAATTAAAATTGTTGAATTGAAATTTCATGTAATTTTGTGTGAGCTGAAAACTTCGAAAAAATTAAGAAAAATTTTGTAGCTTTGTAGTTTTGCAATTAAGAAAAAGGGTAACAATATGTTTATTTTTCATTTCCTCTTTGTTGTAATGAAATTAAATTTTGAGTATATGGTGTTCACACGCTGTTATAAATACAAATATCCAGATACGAGCTTTGAAAATTGGTCGGGCAGCTTGACTGGTAGACGAATAAATTGAAACTATAAAATATTTAATTTTCTAATTTTCAAATAAAATAAAGTATTGTGTGTAAGATTCAGTAAAGTATGAACTCAAACAATTTTTTACTCTGTTCAATATTCTGTTTTCTTAAATTATTGCGTCTCTTTTAAAAACAATTTCTACATATTCAGAGATTTTTTAAATGTTAAAGTAATTTATAATAAAATATTTACCAAAACGTTCTTGTAACTCTTCATTTTATATTATGCCGTGACTTTTTTTGTGTCATAAGACAAAACTTTCTAACACAATGATACGTTCTTTTATTTTGATAAATTAATAGATATTTTTAGTACTCCTTTTTTTTTATAAAGTTTAATTTTTCTTTTTGTATTCTAATTTTCCCCATATCAATTTCTATTTATATTTTTTCTTATAACATTACATTTTTTTTTATATATTTAAAAAAAACGTGTAATTTTTTTCACTTTTATGCATTAATTTTTTGGATTTATGTTGTCTTGAATTGCAAATTTTTACTCAGAAAAAGGATAATTTAAGGAAATTGAAAAAACAAAAAATGAAAAAAAATGTAAGAAAAAAGAACAATAGATGTAAAAACCAAAAGAAAATATAAAAATACGCAACATATATATATATTTTTATATATGTATTTGTGTATAAGTACATCTACAATATATCAGAGTGGATACAACAAATTGTCGAGCAAGTATATTGAAAAATTCACATTATTCATGAAGTTTTATAAATATTTGGGTTTTAAGAATGTTGTAGAAGTATTTGACAAAACACCAACAGGATCTGCCATATTTAAATTTATTTGCTGCCATGTTTTCATTTTGTACTAGCTTGGCAATGGAAGCGTCAATGTATAGTAAGTTGTTCATAGTTCAATGTACTTCTATGAAGTTGGTTACTATAAATTTTTGATTAAGTATATATTTTGAATTTCCATTTTAATAAAGCGAGTAAACTGATGGTGCTCGAATAATTCTATTACCTTCGGCGGTGTTTCCATTATTTGACTATGTTCCCTACATGAAAATATTTAAATTCAAATTTCATATGACGAAATACTAAAAAAATAGTAAATAATAAATATAAACAATTGTAAATTAAAAGACTCTACTATATTTTCAATAAATTTCTTAACTTAGTCATTTTTACCCTATATTTTATATTCAGTCCTGTCACAGCATATGACTCACATTTTATTTTTGTTGTTGTTTGAGGCGAAGAGCGTATAAAGAACCGTCATCAATGTCGAAGAAAAAAAAAATAATTTTTTTTTGTTTTATCATTATTTTCTTCATTTATTATAAGAATTAAATTTAAGGAAATTTTAATGAAAATTGGATTGATATGTAAGATTTATAAAACAGAAGTGACTATTATGAGTTCCCTTTTCTCATCAGGATTTGTAAAGTTTAAAGAAAAGAAATCTACATCTGCGTCAGATTTTTTTTTTCCTTTTTATAATTTTGTAAAAAAAAATTTAAAATATGTACAGCTATTTTTAAGATTAACTTCCTTTTTTTTACTTGCTTATATGTAAAAGAAACTTTAATAAGTAGGTTCATTTACATTTGAATTAAATTAATCATTGTTATAGTGTTTTTATTTTTTTTTTAGTTTTAATTGAAAAAGTTATAGTACCTAATTATTATGAATAGAAATGAAAGTTGACAAAGGTTTAAAATATATTAATGTGCATAGCATCTATGAATTTATTTTAACACGTTCAATTGCAAGTAAGTTGTTCATGTAGTTTTCTTTTACGAGATACGGGAGTGAATACCTTCTATATGATAAAATTTACTAAAGTAACGATGAAATAATTTTGAAACAAGCTAATAGTTTGTAAAATCAACTAGCTAACTAGCTAATTTATTTAAGTTAGCATTATTAAAATACACCAAATTTTTGCATATATTTAAGATGAAAAAGAAAAGGTTTAAAAATAATTTTGAACAAATTGATAGTCGAGTTCCACAGTTAAATAGGTGAGTTAAGATAAATAACTATAGTTTTATGATTATATGGTGTTTACCGTTAGCTTTATGCTTTTGTAGTTATTTGGAAAAGCTTACAGTTTCGGAAGCAAGAAATAAATTTTTAGTATTTTGATTAATTTTAGTAATTGATCTATTTTCAATTAAAATTTCGGCATTTTATCCTAAAGGATGTAAAACTTTGTTTCCAAATAGAAGACAAGCTTTTTAAGTAATTTTTAGTCTTGAATTTGTTCGATTCTAGTTTATTAATTAGATTTTTATCAGTTAATGTGATTATTAATTTTCAATTTTATAGGGCATTTTTGAACAATACTTGTATTCATTATTACATAATAGTGTTTTAATTATTTGAATCTTGGTTTGCTAGTTATAGTATTGCACTTGCAGCTATTTTATACCGAAATATTTAAAAATTAAAACTATTAAAACTTTAATTTTCACTTTTTATAGAACAAAGATTATTGAGATTACCAAAGTGCATAATATTATTAAATTATTGATATATACGAAAATATTTTTGAGTTTATCTTATGGAAAAATATTTAACTTTTAAAATTAGTTAAAAACGAGAAAAAAAATAGAGTTGACCTTGTCAACTCTGTGATACCCGTACGAATTTGTTATCCTATGTGCGAATAACTAATGTGCCATAACTAACTATGGGGCAGACTATGACTTTAAGTTGCCGTATTACCATATTAATTTATGCAAAATTTCAGTACTATGTGTTATTCAAAATACTGGTTGTGCCAAACTACTATTGATGTTGTATGGCAGCTACCAGAAAGAGCCAAGAAATTTTAGCGAATTTTATCAAGCACATCGGCCCTACTAATATATTCACTTGTGTGAAATCTCAATATCACAGCTTTTATAGTTTTTGAGATATAGTCAAATAACTTTTGAAGTTGTATGGCAGGTACCAGAAGGAGCCAAGTAATTTCAACGACTTTTATGAGACACATTGGCCCTACTAATATATTCGTTTGTGTGAAATTTCAATACCCTAGCTTTAATAGTTTCTGAAATATAGTCAAATAACTTTTGAAGTTGTATGGCAGGTACCAGAAGGAGCCAAGTAATTTCAACTACTTTTATGTGACACATTGGTCCTATTAATATATTCGTTTGTATGAAATTTCAATACCATAGCTTTAACAGTTTCTGAAATAAAGCCAAATAATTTTTGAAGTTGTATGGCAGGTACCAGAAAGAGCCAAGTAATTTCAACGACTTTTATATGGCATATTGGCCCTACTAATATATTCGTTTGTGTGAAATTTCAATACCACAACTTTTATAGTTTCTGAGATATAGCCAAATAAATTTTGAAGTTGTATGGCAGCTACCCGAACCGGTACTCCGATCATGTCCAATTTAAATAGGGTTCTGGCACTTACCACAATAAA